GTACGTTTTGTCACGTCCTTCAAGACGAAGGAAGGCAGAACCAGTGACCTGTCACACTGTCCCACAGCCAACAGCCTTGAAGGCCTTGGAGGAGCAACTCAGCCGAGCACCTTGGTTGTTCAATGAGTACACCCCAAGGGTCCCTTTTGACAAGCATGTTGGTGTTCCAAAGAGAGAGAGAGAGAGAGAGATGTTCTTCACAGAGCGGAAGGTTGAAGACCAGTGAAGATGGACTTTGCTATGGCCTTTTGGGATTCAAGGCAGACGCTGCACGCGAAGCGGCAGCGCCTCCTGTGGTCGAACCTGCAATTCCACCTGCTGTGGAAGCTGCCTGTGCGCAGACGGTGGAGCTGGGCAGACGCATGGAGGAGCAGGAGGTGAGCTGTGAAGGGAGGATTCCATCTGACGTGGGGTGGTGGAAAATGCACATTTTGTATGCTGATTGTTTTATTTGTTATTCAGGTGAAGATGTTCTTGCTGTAGTCTTGAAGAATGTTATCACGGCATTATGTAGGTACCTCCAGTGCCTTTCCAAGTTGTGTCGCAAAGTTGAGCAGTTCAGGAAGTTTTTGGGAACATACTGTAATTACATGCAGCTTTAGGGAGCCTTGATGGGGGGGTTTGGAAGTGCTAATACATTTCACTTGGAAGGGAGTGTGAAAGCAATGGTACATGAACACCTTGAACAACTCCGGGTCCCATGCCCGGTTTCCACGAATGCTGTGAAGAGGTGTGCACAGTGATCAAGGGGCAACACATCTACAGCCTACAGCTATCAATGTTTGGTAGCTGTGATTCCTATCAGCAACAAGACATGTAATTGGTTTCATTCCCTTCACAGACTTTGTTCCATTCAAGACCTATTGCAAAGCAATATTGCCCAGGCCCAGATGTATTCCACCACCTCAACTGGTCGTTCAAAGCATTGCACTTCACTTGTATACAACGTGCTGATTGCTGCACAGGTGAATGGAAGCGCTTTGAAGCTTCGTTTGGAGGCGCCGGCAAAATTCATAGAGACCCGAGAAGTCCAAACAAAGCATAACAACGCAAGTACGTCTTATCACGTCCTTCAAGACGAAGGAAGGTAGAACCAGTGACCCGTCACACTGTTGATGGACATTGTGCCTTGGAAAGGTGTAGGAAGCCTCAGACTCAAACGTATGCCACAGCCGCAGCCTTGAAGGCCTTGGAGGAGCAACTCTGCCGAGCACCGTGGTAAGAAATGCTGGCTCAGCATTGTGAGATATGAAGATGAACCGACATTCTTTCAAGTGATACACCATTGAGAGCTGATTGCAAGCTGGGAGGCCTCCGGGAGAGATGGGAATATATGGGAGTCGATTGCTTGCCTTCAGGGAGTCGATATGGGCCGAGTCGGCTCGCCTATGCAAGCTATAAAACAATATAAAACAGCTGGTTCGACACATAAGATGTGGGCCGAATGGAGAGACGCCTCGGTGCGTCTCTCCCATCATCACATAGCATGTCCACCCAGTCTTCTCAGAGACCGACTCGACCATCCCTTTTTCAAGAAGCACGCGAGTGCCTCACAAGGATGTCAACCCCCAAAACAGGTAGTCGGTTAGATCCGGGTGAGATTTGCGGATTGCGACCGCACAGGGGGCCACGCTAAATCTCCGGACCCAGTTGACCCAGTTGACCCCAACAAACTACCGCTGCTGCTGCTGCTACTACTACTACTACTACTCCTGCTGCTGCTGCTGCTACTGCTACTACTACTAGTACTAGTACTAGTACTACTACTTCTACTACCACCACCATTATTACTACTATAGGTTATAGGCTGCAGACTATAGGAGTGGCTATAGGCTACAGAAGGAAGCAATCCGTGGACCAATTGGCCTTCCCCAAAATGACCTTCCTAGAAATGTTTGTATCTCCCAAAGGCCGCAGAAGATACGGACTCTTTAAACTTTCTCTTGCCCGCTTGCCTCTTGCCACAGTTGCACCGCTGGCCCTGTCCTATCTTCGCTTGACGTACTTACCCCAATTGCCCAAATGTTTGTATCCCCTGCGCATCCATAGAAGATGCGGACTTCTCTCTCTTGCCCCACTCGCCCTACATGCCCTGCCCCCGGAACCCTGCACATCCCAACAATCAACTGGATCAACTGGGACCACACAATTACCGGACCCCTGTGTCGATGCACTTGATTTGAGATAGCAAGGATGAGGGGATGAGTCTCTTTCCTATCGCTGATCGCTGGCTCAATGGTTTGCGCTACATTATTATACGACGGTATTGCTCAATCATGTTCAATCAGTTTCAATCATTTGTAGAAATCTATGATATCACTATGAAGTAGAAACGGTGTTTGCTATTATTCTTACTGCGGGTCCAAGACATTTGGAATGCATGAACACATTGACATGGTTTTATGAAACGAGTACCACTAATCACCAAGGGCTTTGTTTGATGATGTTTCAAGGCAATGATATGTAGCAAACCCCAAAAGTCCTGAGATAGTTGTGACCCCCACAAAGTTCGCTTGAGAGGGACCCACCTGTCAGAATTTTGCCTGAGGATTTGGTCGTGCAGAACGGAAGCTTGGAGATGCTTCAAACGCAGCTGGGTAGCCTTCATGAGCAGCTTCCCAGGACGGCACCGCCGAACATCGCGACGGCGAGCGATGTTGTGAGCAATGTTACGACGGGACCACTTATGCCTATGTGCCCTGCTTAGGGCGATTTGGAACACTTGTCGGCGCACACGGCACAACAGGAGATCACACCTATGACGCGTCTTATGACGCGTCTTACGTGACAGCAGCTCCCTGGATCTGAACCCTGAGAACTTCCCGTACAATCAGACCAGGGTGTACTGTTAAAACTCGGGCAACCTGGGATAGCAATCGGTTTGGAATTTAAATTTACAACTTTCCACATTTTTCCAGTTCATTTTCATACCTTCCAGCTTCTTCAACTCCGGTCCATCCATGTCCTGACCCTTCGGATCGGATCGGACCACGGCAACGCCAGACGCGGGTTCCCGGTTCACGCACCAGGACCGTGGCGGCTCGCTTGGAGGAGCGATTCAATTTGGAGCTTCCCAAGGCGCGGCAGAGCACCACCCAGCAGATCGCACGAGAGGCGCGGCCGCCGGCCGCGCGTCGACGCCCGTGAGCAGGTCAGCGGCGTGAGCGAACTCCGATCCCGGCGGCGGTTTTGCTCGCGGAAGCAAAACCGAGGTGTTTAGATGGGGTTTTTGCACGGATGCAGACAGATGTTTGTGGCGGGTGCTGCCCTTTTGGTGGCTTTTGGCTTGGTGGACCACCCTGGTAATTTCTCGTCATATTGACCAACGTCGCGTCTCCCAATCTTTCAAGCTGACGCTGGGGCAACTGGGGCGCTGCCGGAACTGAGGGCCACGCTGGTCCACCGAAAGCATAAAAGGGATGTCTTCCACGCCATGATACGCCATGTGTTAGTGAATTCTATAAGTGACTCCAGCTGACACCTATTGTTTATCAATCGACTATGGGCATCCCCGCCATGGCCCGTGGATCCAACGCGAACGCCCGCGACTGGTAACGGCCCACGGCTCGGGTGCCGCCCGAGGTGCGGGAGGCGGTGCGGGGCGAGTATCAGCGCTTGGTGTGGCAGCTCGCAGGGCCCGAGCCACGCGAGGTCGGGACGCGAGGGGGCTGGCGGCTGGGTAGAAGTAGCCGCGGTGAGGATGGAGGATTCGACGTGAAAGGAAAAAAGGGGGGGGGAGCATACGGCATGCAGCATGCAGCACGCGGTTGTTTTTTTTTGGAGTATGGTCATGAGACAGCTGTGTTTAGTTTGTGATCAATCCAAGCCAAGAGGTCACGAGGGACGAACCGTTGGACCGTTTGGATTCTCGTTTGTGCTTGGATCTAGTGTGGGTGGTTTACGTTTACCGCCGTTTCCCTGTATACCCATTTGGTGAAGAGGGATCCTTGTGGATCCTTCAAAAAGGGTCATCGTTCATTGTATAGCTTGAATAGAAGAAGCCAGTACTTGTCATGTTGGGGTTCGTTGCGGTTCGTTGGTTCTTGGGGACCCTCGGCACCTCCCGTACACCTCGACCCTGGGCGAATCCCCAGAGCGAACCCCCAAAGCCACTGGTCGAAGGGTCCATGGATGTTCACATCCACTGGTCCCAGAAAAGTCACAAGGTTTGGAAACGCCACCAATGGCCGCCCAAGGGATCGCACAAGAGGAACGTGGGACAACATCCAAGAGCCGGCAATCACACTGTATACAGGAAGTTTTGTGCGTGGCTCATGGTGAGACATGGAAGTTTATCCAAAGATTTCTTGCAATTAATGGTCAATTAAGCAAATGTAGCCATCAGAGTCAACAACTTCTCACATCGTAGATCAGCTGCCTCATCAGAAGATCATCGCATCGCGGCCCCCGAGTACTTTGCAACTGACCTGCGGCAGGGAGTTTTGTTGGAAGCCTCATTGATCACTTAGTCGCCATTATGGCCCTTCCTTTCTTTGCAACATCCAAAGACCAATCAAAAAGTGAGACTCCACAGCAGATAGAGCAACGTCCAACAGAAATGCTCATGATTGGAAGAACAAGAAGGTTCAAAGTTTGAACCAAGCAATTGACAGCTTCAGTCGATGGAAGGACTTGAACAACTATTGGGGCCCCTACTCGCAGCGGGGGATTGTTCGGTTCGGGCAAAACCCTCCCTGCTTGAGGGTACTGGCGGCGAGGGGTTGGTATTTTTTGGGGTGCTGGGTTCATGGTGCGAGGTCCTGACCACCAGATCACCCAGCTTGGAGAAGGCGGAGACGCGGCGGAGACAGAGAGATGTTGGACCACGCGGCCATGGACGGCCATGGATGGTCCATTTTGTTTCTGAAAGGTGTTGTTTCGAATGGTTCGAGTTCGATCATCTTTTGCAGAAACTAGCAACGATCTAATGTCGATGAACTCATCGGAACTACAGCTTCATTCGGCACCTTGGTTAGCAATCACTGGGCCCGGGCCTAAGAACTTCGAAGGTCAGAGCTCGCCTCTGCATTTCCAGGCACAACTGGAGCCTCCACCGAAACCTGCTGAGCCGCGCCCGGGCGCTTGATGCTGTCAGTTTCTCCGGTGGCCACTTGTGGCTGCGCTGGGTGTGTACCCGCAAGACCCATGAAAGAGACCTAGCTGAGTGAAAGTTGAAGATGCGCCACACGGAGCTGGGCCGGATGCGAAGCTATGGTCAGATGATCTTCAGCAGTGGTTGTTTGAGGTACAAGTGGGAAAGGATGATGTTCTGTTGTTTTAGGACGTTTTGCGATGTTTTTGGGTGGAACACAAATGTTGGCTGACACTCTCTGAAATAATCATAGCTACGTGGATGGCATGTCCCCTTGGACGACAATTTTCTGCTACAAACAGTTGTTTTTTGCACTTCCATGATTATCTCAGGGAGTGTAGTTCGTGGAAGGCAGAATGTGGATGGATGGGGGATGGGGATATGGCAGGTTTGAGCTTCAGACGAAAACAGCTTCCTGCTGGCCCGCATGCAGCTTCCGTGTTGGCTCATTTTTGCAACCCGTTGCTGCATAGATGCGTCAACTACACTGCGCGCGTTAATTGGGCAAGCAGGTGCAGGCACCCAACAACATGGATTATGTGGTTATCAAGGTATCCTGCTTCTGGAATGAAACGTTGGCTCAGCCATCCTTCTCTTGATAGGTTTTGAAACCAACATAGCCTAAAATGAGTTCAAACCATTACAGCTCGAGTTGAATCCTAGGACCCTCCAGACAATGCAGAATGGTTACTCAACAACAACAACATGGTTAAACTCAACAACAACAACAACAACAACAACAACAACAACAACAACAACAACAAGAAGAAGAAGAAGAAGTCCAGAGTCCCCAGAGTCCAGGCCTGGAAAGGATCCACATCCTCGCGGTTTCAGAACGGAAGGAGACTTCAGCAAACTACTCTGCCCTGCCGATCCGCTGCATGTTGCCATGTTCCAGAAGGCGGGCGACAGAAGACAGATGTAGATGTGGGTGTAGATGTGGGTGAACATCTGTGGCGACCGCCTTTCTTATGATTTTCTATGTTTCTTGGCCTCTAAAAGCTCCAAATTCCTTAGGGGATGGGGGGGCTGAAAGATTACTTGCATCATTTGATGTCTATATATTTTTTTTTCAGTGGACAACACTTAGATGAAGCTTCCAAGTCTCCCCGACGAGTTGAGCGGACATGTCTATTTGATGCACTTGGGAACTGTACTATTTAGGCTTAGACTTCCAGGTTGCATGAGTTGAGGGTCTACTGCTTGTTTAACTTTGAACTCGTAGTTGTACTTGCAGCACCTTGGATTCACCTTATCAAATGTTTAAGCACATGCTGTCACATACTTATAAAACTTAAGAACGCGCTAAGCTCAGCTGGGAAGAAGACAAGCTATCTCTAGGCTGACGAGGTGATTGCTAGTGGTCTTAATGTCAGCCAAGATCAGGGACTCCACAACAGTTGTAGGGTGAATGTTAATGTAGAATCTTGATGCACAACCCGCCCATTTCGATTGTAAAGCCTCTTCAACTTGGGAGAGTATTTATATTATCAAGATTCTACACAGGGGAGTGGGCGCAACTCGGGACCCGAGAACCTTTACAAAGAAACTGCAGCCAAGCTGAGCTCCGGAATTTGCTCGGAGAATGTGAGGCAATCCCTCCATGCCACCAAAGGTTCCGGAACCATTTGAACTGTCCAGGGTTCCAAAGGCCACCCGAAACCATCCAAAGACATCCAAACACGATGCAATGCCAAAGTCCGACATGACCGGTGGCAAATGTGTGCAGCCCTCCACGTGGGCGCCACCGGCCGAACCTTGTCTGTAAGCGGTATCTTGGGTTGTAGGTTATAACTATAACCTTTATGGATGACAAGGGTGAACCCAATCCGGTCCTTCGGGTCCGGCGTTTCTCCGGTTTTCACCGGGTTTTTTCGCGGTCATTCTAAGGGGAGAACGGGAGCACGCGACTCCTGCCGGTTCAGGCTCAAGGACGTTGAGAGTTACTGTATCCTCTAGGGTCAACTCTTCCCTTGACCACCGGTGTGGACCTCGAGACAACAACGTAATGTGACTGACCCGTACGTTGTTGAGGGTGAGTTGGTTGGTTTGTGGCTTGGTTGGTTTGGGTCCCACGGTGTCGTCCCTGTGGTGACTGGTGGCTGATTGGAACAGGGGCGAACTTGGTCAGCTTGACGCAACCAAGGTCCAAGGTCCGAAATGAAACGGAAACACAAGGGGAGTAATTTCAGTGGAGGTATATGAAAGCACATGTGTACAGTGTGGACGCGTGTATTCGAGGCCCGCGACGCGCAGGGGGAGTGACGGCCATGATGCCTGTCTTCTCCCAGAATCCCAACGGGACGTCTATCAGGCGGCTATATGCCAGTCTGGGTGCTTACTTGGTAGTTTCCACATTGCTTTATGTAGTTCTGGCTGTGTAATATGAGTGGAGGAATCACGAGCCCCATGGGCGCGGTTATACTTTGTAGTGAACGGGGTGGCCGGTGCTGCAGTCTCTTTGTAAAGGCTCTCAGGTCCTGAGTGTGCAAAATCTTGATACTGTATGATACTGTAATAGAATAACCACCCAGATTGAAGAGGCCGATGATGATGATGATGTCGCGGTGGTGGTAGCCAAAGGCACACCGTGGCAGCCACTCCTAAATGGCTCCTCTGGCGCTCCGGAATTTGCTGGGAGAACATGAGGCAATCCCACCATGCCACGAAAGGTTCCGGAACCATTGAACTGTCCAGGGTTCCAAAGGCCACCCAAAACCATCCAAAACACGATGCAACGCCAAAGTTGTCCCCAAAGTTCAACATGACCCGAAAAATCTCCCGAGACCTCCCACCGTCAGAGGTGTGTTTGACGTCTCGGATCGGATCCTTTTATGGATCGTCATCTCCTTGTCATCTCCGACTCGGTGCTCTTCAGAGCCCTCCGCGCCTCCAGGCCTTGTCGGGCTTGGACCACCTGTGCGCCTCCGAGCCGTTCAGAAGCGCGACATCCACTGCGGATTGAATTTGGGAGACTGGTAGGTGAGGGGTGACATGTATACGCATCGGGCATGCCCGCAAAACCCTGTACAAGATGTATACGTGTTATTCATAAGTCGCATGCCCTTGGGGATTCCCAAGTCGCTCCTCCAGACTTCTATCAATAGGAGAATACTAGTGGTTGCTACTTTGCAGGCCTACTTTTGACACAGATAGCTGTGACAAGAACATGAGCAGAGGCTTAATGGATTTGTCTGTCACTCCAGGTGTTTGGGCCTAAAGCACCAAAGCAGGTCTGGTCGGTCCAATCCAGAATGAACTTTTCCACACATGGCGAAGCGCAACAGTTCATTCTGATCCCATCTGATCCCAAAAGTTCTGTAGATTTTTGGGGAGGGGATGTATCCCTCACTGAAGAAAGATTACTGTCCAATATGTGGGTTGAGGCGCACGAATGCAAGGTGTATGACCCTTGGTGGTTGTTGGCTCTTCATTTCACTTGCTCATAGTGGGCTCATTGTGCGGTACTATTGTTCCTTCGCTTGTTTTGCTCTCATATGGAACTCTTGTTTTGAAGCTTAATGCTTTGGAGGTTTGGATGACTTTAGAGTCGTGGCCGTTGTTTGTAGATCCATCCAATGCCTTTTCCCCCAAACAAGTATGTCCACACTGAGGGTTCTTACGCTAGGAGCCCGGGTTCGATCAGGGTACCCTCTCTGAGCCCGTGCGTTTTGGCTGCGCAGGCTCATGGAAAAGTTCCGTTTTGAGATCTCCAAATGCAATTTCTCTGCGCAGGGTTGCTCGAAACGTTGGCCCCGGGACGGTGCTTGACAGAGGTGCGCTCTCGTTGTGGTGCCGCGCGCATTTTTGGACTCGGTCATCACATTTTGTGGCAGGGGCAATGGAAACCTTCGTGTTTTGGTGGTCTAAGTCGACTTTTCGTGACAGGTGCAGGAGGTCGGAACATGATTTTGGGGTAGGCGCAGTGCATTGGACATTGTGGTCTTCGGCATTCTCTGATTTCGTGGCAGGTGCAGTGAATCGTGACTTTTGGACACGTGGTTCGTTTTTTTTCGAAATCGGAGTAAGTGTGAGGCGAAGGCTAAATGCTCTTGCTGCAAATCGCCGGGGTTACGCGATGTGAATCTTGACGTGCAGATCATGACTTACTGGCTTATCGTGGCAGGCGAAGTATTTTGTGACCTTGAAGTCTGTGAGGAAGGCTCGTTTTGTGAGACAGGGGTTCGTGCGTGTCGGATCGCTCTCGTTGTAGCGCGGTGCCGATTTCGATTCCGTTGGTGCAACCCTCTCGGCACATTCTGCGTAATCTGTGGTTGTGCAACTCTCGTGTTTTGTGTGTGTGTGTCGGATTGCTCTCGTTGTAGCGCCGTGCCGATTTTGATTACATCCGTGTGGCGAGCATGTTCATTCGGAAACATGGATCATGTAGAGGATCCTGAGACATGGATCTGGAGACATGGGTCTTGTAGAAGATCCTGAGACATGGATCTTGTAGAGGATCCTGAGACATGGATCTTGCTCACGTGCTCTGTGTAGAGAATCCGGAGGCATGGATACTGTTCGTCAAGATAGAATTTTGTAGAAACAGAACATTTGCACACCCTTCTCCAACCCAATGTGCTGCTCACGCGCCGTGCTGACTGCATCTCGCTGCAGCTCTTGGTGCTGCTTCAATGCGGAGGTCGCCGTTCCCAAGTCTTGTCACCCTCCACTGAAATAACCACCGTTTTCTAACTTCTGCATGCAAAGACATTGATTTGTGCTTGCACAATCCGGACGGTATGCTCGTCCAGCTTCTTCATTTGCATTTGAGCCTGCACGATCCTGTTATATATTTGGTTACCTGCACGTGCCAGTCTACTTTTGCGTCCTCCGTTGTCCCATAAAAAAAAAAAGAAAACAGGCGTTCTGCTGTTTTTTTCTCTCGTGCGCTTGCACTTTTGACATCCAACCTCCACAGTGTTTGGGGTCCCTTGCCGGTGTATTTCATGATCGGCTTGTGCCTTTGCTCAGTAGGGCTCTGTAGGGCTCTTGGACAGGTAAGCGCATGACTTTGAGTCTGAGTGTTGGAAGTTGTTTTCACCTCGAGAACCATCCTTATTCGACTTCATTCGACTTCCTTGTCCTTTGCCATGTTCCACTTCCATCTTTGTTCGGAAGGGTAGGTTACATCCTTTTTCCATCTCCAAATCTCCGGGAGGGCCGGCGCAAAACCATCAGCCACTCGGAAGACAGGGGAATCCTTGTATCTCGGAGTTTTTTTTCAACCCAACCCATCCATTCCACAGTTCTCAAGTTTTCCCATGTGTTCACCCCATGGAAACCGTCCAGAGGTACAGACCTGGCCTATCAGGGAAAGATGAGTTGTCACCTCAGTTGCCCTGTGTGGGTCGACATGAATTCACCTTTTTCGCGTCAAAAGACGTGCCTATGATGCTGCGCAGTCGAAGGTTGGCTCCCCACCAGGCAGGTTCACCTGGAACCAGGATAGATCAATTCTGAGGGGAACGTGATTTCTGGGAGGGCACCCTGATTCGACCGACGCGACCTTCGCGACTTCTTGAAAGCATCAGGGTGCCCTCCACCGTCATATCGATTCGGCAGACTCTCCATCTATGGAATATAGATAACATTGATCCCGTTTCAACCACCTCTAATGGTAGGTGTATATATAAATATGCCTATAATGTAGACTCTTGATTAATAAAACCTTCCATTTGAAGAGGATGTTCTAAGTCAAAGGGGATTACCAGGGGGGTCAAGAGCCTACACAAGTTACATGGAGTCTTTGGGCTCGGTGTGTCCAACAGCAGAAGTACACGACACCTAGTGACTCACATGCACGGACGGGCCCTGCACACAACGAAGACGATGTTCTTCAGGCTCCCAGATTGCTTTGGAAGGGTTCTGGCGTGGAAGATGAAACTGTGGAAATGTCATACAATGTCAAACATGTGCAACATGATTCCTCTCATGGATCCACCATGATCCCACCCACCTCCGGATCTTGATGTGCAGGTTTGTAGGGCTATCACACCAGCTTGCCAAGTCTCCCTCCACATCTCAGGTCCTGTCCCATCGACGAGCAGGACGGATCAGACAGTGAGGCGAAGTGCCACAGGAGTCACAGGAGTACAAATTTCCCCATAGTGGATCCGAAGTAATCCTCTCGTGTTGTCCATGAATGAGTCCAGACTCCTCAAGGGTTATTTGACCTTTGCAGGCCTAGTAGTAACAAGAAGCTACTAGGTTGGAGGCCATCGCTAGTCGCTAGTAGGTTGGAGGCCATCAGTAGCGATGCACTTGTTACTAGTTCAATGAAGCCGCTCATGGCTCCTGATGGCTTGAACATCTCCCCACACGCAGCTCATGATTCCATCACGCCCCTCCAGAGCCAGGAGCTGGGGCAATGGCATTACTTGGTGACCGACCCGAAGGGCATCCAGCCGCGCCAGGCGGCCAAAGCGCTCAGCGGCGCTGGCGGGGGAGAACTCCTTCTGTGGGTCGGGTCGGTTTTGTTTTGGACTTCGAAGGAACAGGGAACAAGCCATTGTGATTGTTCCCCTTGCCATGCTGGAGTGATGGAGTGATGTGGTGTTTGTGTGGATACTGTCCACATCTGTCCACCTTTGAGCGCATTATTTTTCTTTGCCAAAGTTCCCTCGATCCATGACCAAACAAACAGGATTATCCACTCTGCACAGTGCCTGAATTGATCAGAACAAACAACATGTGCTCCTATGAAATGATGAGAGTCCTTCCGAAGATTTTGAAGCAGCGCCAAACTGCAGAGAGGAGCCCATGTACAGCCCGAAGCTCAGGATCAGGGCACTTTGGGAGCGGCTTGGGCCGACAAACCAACGCCACCCATGGACCAAGGGCTATCCATTTGCTTGTTTTTTCTTTCGGCTGACTGACTGACTTGCTGCTGAAATGGCTGACAAGTTGCTCATGAGACTCTTTCTGACGAAATCATCGAAGACTCGAAGACCCAGAGAGCTGGAGAACCGAAAGACCGACCTCTTCCAGGTCAATTGTTGTGATACAGGCGCTTCTGTGCCCTTCAGTGCTGAGGCAGTAAGGACCCGGCCAAGCCGAAACGTCCCATGGGCGCCGTGCTGGAGATCTCGCTTCGGCGGAGGCGGGCGGCCATCCTTCCACGCCTTACGGGCAGTCGTGGGGTGTTCCTTGCAGTGTTCGTTCTCACCCTTCCGCAAGCATTAGTAGAGGTCCTTCATGGGAGAAGCGGAAACGGTCAATGTCACTTCTGTTCGGGGTTCCTAAGTGACTTTGGGCCCCAAGTGACCTGAAACCAGATCAAGTTCGGTCACTTTGAAGGTACAGCAGAGATCTCTGAACATCAGATGTTGGAATGCTAGCTCTTCCTTTGGACTCGATGGGCGCCGAACTCGAGGTCTGGCTGGACGCGATGGCTGCAGGTGGGCGAGGCGTGGTGAGCACAGCGGAAAGCACCGGGTGGACAGGATCGAGGGATGTCGAGGGAGCCAAGCGACTGAGAATTTGCACTTGGTGTTATTTCTCGGTTACTTTGGCCCTGTGTACATAATATATTAAAATACTCATGTCATCATGATTCAATATACTCAATGTCATGACAACACATCTCAAATCATATACTATCCCGCAGGATCGTAGAGAAACCCTGGATGCACTGAGAGGCTATACAGCAGGGAGGCAGACATGAGCCTGGTGCCATGAGTGCCATGCAGACGTCTTCAACGACTTTAACGGCCTGTAAGGTCCGAGGTGGGTGATCCTTACTACCATATCCTAACGCTTGGTTTTGTTTGTCAAAAAGAGTTGGTGACTCCCCCCCTTGGTGCACTGGGGACATGTGGATCTTAACGTAAGACAATGTAAGACATACTGGTAGTACATTGTTCCTTAGCCTGTTCCATACCTTTGAGCCATTCAGCAAGAAACCCGGGTGGAACGTTTGAGTGGGTATAGTTGGAACATGTCAGAATCCTTCAATCACTCAAAAAAAAGAGTAGCATTGGACTTGAATTGCCATATATGCCGTCATATTATCTACATTGATTTACCTTGGCATTACTTGGCAATTTAATTTTGCCACCACGTGCAGGAGGAGTGGCTCTTCGACATCTCGCCAAAGGATCGGAAGGCGACGCTGGGTCCTTCCGAGACTGTGTGGAGAGACTTGTTCCACTCCCTGGGCAGAGTCCCACAATCCTGTCATGTTATGTCCAAGGACGAGAGTGTTGTTGGTGGTGGTTGCACGTCTTTTTGGGTCGGTCTTCAGATTGCCAACACTCCTGGTGTTGCACACCCGTAGATTGGAATAACAGTCGTGGACACTCCAAGCATCTCCAAGCAATATCAAGCAATCACTTCTCATTCTGAACATGATATTTTTGAGGGCCAATTTCATCCCATGTTTGTTCTTTGCAAAGGTTTGCAAGTCACCTGTTGTTTTTTCCAGGGGCCTTTCTGTGCGCATGAATGAAACAATATGAATCAATGTGATATAAATAGTATACCGACTCTGCTCGTCAGGCGATCTTGATGTGGTAGTTCTTCTTTCTCCATGTAATTCTAGCCCAGCTTTATTTAGGCCAATCAGTTTCATCAATTCAATCAGAAGCAACGGATCCTTTCGACCGGATCAGAAGAAACGGATCTTTCGATCCTTCGGCAAATTGGTCCCAGCCAAGTCCGAATCCGGCACCCACCCTTTTGTCGCGGTCCAACCGCCAGGTTCGGATGGTGGAAGTGGAACTGCAGAAAGGCTCTTGGGATTTTGAGGCTGACGACCCCGGTCCGAGCTTTGAAGCGCCGATGGTCCGTCGCGCGGACTGGTCGATAGCGGTCCGACCGGTCCACGTGTCGATCAGATCCATGACGGGAATCAAGCAGAACAAGCCATCAGGGATTGAGGGCAAGTTTCAAGATCGATTGGACCTGAGGAGGCTTTGTGCAAGCAAAGTTTATGAGTTGCTGAAGATTGTTTTTTTTGTTCGTTTATATTGTTAATTCTTGTTTATATTAAACAATATATGATATTTGTTCAATGGATTTATGAGTTATGGTACCATTTGCACCAGGGAAGATAGCACAGCAAAGTAGAGACAATGACTACTCCCATTGGGTAAGAATGGTCAATGATGGCAAATGACGTCTTCCTCAGTGAAACGGTAAACATGCCAATGCGGCTTACGCATTGCCACGTCATCAGTCCATGGTCCATAGTCGCAATCCGTCCTCATGGTCCACGGATGGAGGTGGTTCGAGTGGATTCAAAAATGTTCAGGAACATATCAGATTTGGTTGAAGGTGGTTGAATACCCCTAGAGTTCCAACTACCTCCTGAGGTTCGGTGGTTGGGGTGGAGTGAGTAGGTCCGGAGATATGCGCACAACGATCAACACATGACTCATAGATGATGGGATGACGCGTCTATATCCCACCCTTGGCTTCTCAAATCCCTGGCTTATGGTTCAACTTCATCCCATAAGCCCGCTGGCTTCAGGGCGACTGCTTCCCACCCAGTTTCTCAAATCAACTGGTGAACCCCACCTGCTTCGCCGGATGTCCAGGTGTCAGTGGCCGAGTTGAAGCTCTACCCGATCCCGGGGGCCAAGGCGACCATCCCGTCGGTCGCCGTTCTGGACCGACACTCCGACGGTCTGGTGGATCAAAGGGGTCCATGGGGTGGCATATTTGTACCAGACGGCCCAGCTGAAGTCTCCCAGTAGAGCTTCAAGTACTTCTGTTTCTAGTGTGTTTGGGGAGGGTGACCGGAGGGTCCAAAGACTGTTTCGCAGGTGCGACCGGTTGGAGGTCTCTTTTATTCCCGGATCCAAAAGGGCATCGGTTGGACCCCGAAGAGAAACGCGACAAGAAATTCTACAAGTGAGCGGTTGGAGTCGGTCTCCTGATTGTACCTATCATGATCCTCCATTTACATGATCCTCAGTTTGCTCCGGACCTAAGGAATGTGTTTTCAGTGCAACTCTTCCAGATCTTGCAGTCAGACTGCAGTCGCACGAAGTCCCTAAAGTTGCGGATCCAGATTTTTTTGGGCGATGGCGATGGCCGATCCGGTGGCGATGGGCCTGGACAAGATCAACACCATTTGGGGTGCAACTGAACAAGATGAACGGGGGATGGGGATGTGCAACTGTCAATGTGTTCCTGCTACAGCAAGGGCCATCATTTACCTAGAAAACAATATGTGCAATACAATATAATTATGGAATAATTACATTGATCATGTATAATTTACTGTAGATGATGTTATGATGTCAAGTTGTACTGTAACATGTACTGCACGATGATACTGGGAACTGTCCTCCACCCAAAGGTATAAAATATCGACATGTTCAGACATGTTCATTGATCATTTCGTTTGCGTGTGTGCACCCTTTTCTAGGGCGTTTTACTAATCAACTTCCAGTATGAAGAAACGCAAGTTGCGAGCCACACCTGTTCGCTTCATGTTTGGGCTTCAACAGCCTCCGCACACCTGTTCAGAACAGCAGCGGCACAATGAAGCTGGGAGAGACCTTCACGGCGGATGAGAAGGCGACCGCGGAGGAAGGGCTCCAGTCGGCTCGGCCATGCTCGGCGCCGCGCCGGTGGGGATAAGTCCAAACCGGTTTGGCAACACCTGACAGGTCAACCGGTTGGTCTCCTGGTGCCATGATCCACAGCAGGGAATTCATGGGAATAGCTTTATGTGTTTTTTTGTTCTATCAGGTTTTATCACCTGTGTCATTCGAGTGAGGGGACATGACGATGGTGAGTACGCCAAGTGAAACGCCACCAGGAGTTCTGAGCTCGGTCCTTTCCTTTGAGTCGGAGGGCTCGGTCTCGCATCTCGGTCTCGTCACGGTCTCGTCCTCGAGCGCGGTCCCGCGGTCCGTCCGTAGCGCGGTCCGTTGGGGAAGACCTGGCCATGGTCCGTTGGGGCTTCCGAAAGGCCATGTCTGTCGGTGATGTCAACAGTTCTTGGGGGACGAGTGGGGTTGGTTTGTGATCATGGGACTTGTTTGATCTCATTCGGGACAGGAACTGCACCCAAGTCACGTCGGACTACAATAACCATGTTCTAAAAGAGTCACACAGTTATACCACGACCCCCTAAAGGGGCTTCTATTGATAGCCCCTTAACCACTGCTTAGGGGGCCCTGGTATAGAAGTTTCTTTCTTGGCACCGCTTCCCGTTTGCATCCTATCCCCACCCTCCGCAACAGCGCAGGTGCGGCCACGGCGTTCGCGGGGCGCCTTCCTCCACGTGGCGGGGACGGAGCATTGGGCCCTGCTGACGTGCTTGGATGAGAGTGGGGGTAAGGCACCGGCCTTGTTGAGCCTTTTGCTTTCATGTTCATCTCGGTTGACGCTTCATTTTACAGCTTATGAATGCTTGTGAAATTGTTCATTAAGAGTCACATACCCCCAAAAAGCGACATGGACCCTGTGGTTTCACCCCAGTTGCACCTACGGTTTCCTCTAGTTGCACAAAACGTGGTTTTCAGCCTATCCCGGACTGAATCGAGAGAAGGTCATTACTGGCCTCGTATTGCGTCTTCAAGTTCTCAAGCTGAGATGACCGACGGATCACCAGACTCGCCTGTTTGGGATGTTTGGGGTGGGGACGTTGGCAGATCTTCAGTCTGAAAATTTATGTGAGCATGCAGAGAGATGTTGAGAGTGAGCATTTGACGCCACTTCGCAGGATTGGCTGCAAGAAAGATCTAACATTGAACACTGCTCTGTGTTTCACGTCCCCTTCTTACGGGAAGAAACATATGATTAATCCAGTAGACTCGAACCCAATTGAATGAGAGGGGTGGCCTTAGATAGTTGTAAGTGTGATTGTTGTATTCTTGCTTCCCCAATGAACTTCTGATATGTCGAGCTTCCGCCATCGGAACATACCCAACCAAAGAAATTGTGAATACAGTTTCCTGCTTTATATATATATATATATGCCATGCTTAAAGTTGTGAATTTTGTTGTTGTTCAATCGACTGCGACCAATCCGATCCGATGCCTCCTCCTTACTTATACACGAGTAAAGTCAGAGTTAGGAGCCTTCCTGCTGCACGGCCAGGCACAGCCAGGCATAGATCAAAAGCTCCAGATCAAAAGTACATGATTATGTCTAGACTGTTCTAGACTCATAGACTTGCTGATCAACATGATGACCAACTTACCAATGGGCGCAGAACATGTTCTCCAAGGCTCTGACGACAGGTGTACATGAGGAAAACAAGGAAAACACTGAGCTGAGCATTCCCCACGAGGAACGAATGGAAGGTGGAACAGTAACACGAGGTTGCTGTGCGGAACAGACACCATGTGGGTAAACATGGGTAAACCACTCAGAACGGTGTCGCCGTTCTCGAAGAAATCCGATACAGCCTTTAGAAGATGACCAAGCCGAAAGTCTGACCAGTTCCGCTTTTGGATGTTCCAATATTCTACCTACTCCAGGATAACCTCCTCGGATGCCCAAGAAGCACGAAGGGACTCGCACGCGTCCTTTCGCGCAACGTTTCGTCCTTTTCCAAACCCACGGAGCTCCATCTCCCCAATGGCGGTGGATCCCTTGGCCATGGAGGCGCGGAGTCCGTGCGTACTTGGCGTTCGAGTGGGCAGTATGTTAATAGGCATGCTCAGAAGGGCCAACCTGAGCATGGTGTATGCCCTATTGTCCAGAGTAGGCTCATGATCTTTTGAGATGTTGATTTTCTTTAGTTTCTGTTGCACACATGTGTGTTTTTGTTGAGTACAGGTGTACCGGTGCCGATGGTGGCTCTTTAGCTGATTTACTTTGACATATATATATATCCTTCCACAAGTTGTCCAAAACATTCCGACACGTTGCGGAAAGTTCCATTACATTTAGAGACGATCGAACACATTGCAGGCAAATCCAAAACATTGCGGACATTTCCACAATATAGCACTGCCGTAGAGTATCGCTTTGATGAGTACCCCGCGTTGAAACATGAATTTGGCAGACACTTCTCCCATGCTGTATGTCCCATCGTTGGTCGGATTGGTTTGTCACGTTTCTTTGCATTGAAGCGCAGCAGGAGAACCTGCGTTGGGAAGGCGGGCAACCTGGAGTGGCTGGAGAGTGGGATGGGCGCAGTTTCAATCTTGCATTTGTTTAATTTTGATGCGGGCTTTGGAGGAAGCTGGCATTTCTGAACAAAACTACTGACCCATCAACATGTGCAGTCAGAGCATGTGATTCGTTGTTTCTTCAGGGGGATGCATTGACTCTGGGCTGTCGATCTTTCCGCATGCGGTGCGGCATTGACGTCGTTGTTTTTGGGGCGAAGGTCCATCCGGTCTGACCCGTCCTGAAAAGCCGTTTAGATACGTTCTGGGAGCCGAAGATGTGAAAAGTAAGGTTTTCAGGACCTTTTTACATTGACTCGTGTGTTTTTTTGTTTTATATGACCAACTCCATGGCAAACATGCCCTTCACAACGGTCCAAACATGTTTGGGACCATTCGAGCCGTCCAAAGTTGAGGTCTTTGGACCTGTATAGGGTCCTTTTACGGCGCTTATAGGTTCTCTACCACTCGTGGGCGGCAAATCGGAGATTCTATTGGCGGAACCCCTCGAGGAGGGGGTTAATATCCACTCAGACCACTGTTTTTAACAGTTGGAACATTCCAGGAGTCACATGTCGGAGTGGTTTTTAGATGAGTCTCTCTATATATGGCTACGGCCAGAAACATAAGGCTTGGATCACACACCCAAACCCACACACGATCCATACCAGGGTTTCTGGCCACACCCATATATATATATATACAGTATATATATATATATATAGAGAGAGTGGAGTGGGCACCCCTATCCTCCAATACATGTGACATGTGACACCCCGACATATGACTCCTGATTCTTCCGGACCAGACCTGACCATCGCCGCAAAGAATCCCTCTTCGTTGAACCCGCCTTCTTCAGCAGGTGCGACGGCCGAGGCCGAGAAGAAAAGGGGCAGTTGGATTGTTTGCAGAGCATCGGGGCGCATATATAGATCTAAGATGATCTAAGGCTATCTAAGGATCAAAGGGTATTTGCAGACCAGTTGATAGCCCCTGGATCATACTGTGAAGGAGCAAAATCCATTCGCTCATCGGAAAAGCATGACGAGCCACCTTCCAGCAGTTTCAGGCGGTGGCAGTGGCCTGTCATGGTGCCCAGGCAGCGCCAAATTATGCTCGTGAATAGGACACATAGAAACCCTGAAAACTACCGACTTGTCGAAGTAAATAGCCACAAGAACAAGCAATGGACCTATCATGGAGAAAGAGTTTTGAGGTGTTTCATGCTTTCTGTTGATTTCTTGTTGATAAATTCTTGCGACGTGCCATGGTCCTTGTGTCTTGCAGGTCGACCCAGCCCTTGCATGCCCTTCCCTTTGTGCCGTTTTGTTTCGAATAGCGATGGCCTCCAACCTATTAGCATTCCTTTTTACTCTAGATTTATTGAATTCTTTTGAGATGAAACACCTGGACCCCCCCCCCTGTGGGCTTACAAAATTTTGGGGTGAGTATAGGCCTCTTAAGATTTCTGAGGTTTCTTCGACACTTCGTTCACTGGGGGAATACTCGGGAGTTCACCTGGTTTTGACTCGAACCACCCACTAGCTCCACAGCACAGGCGCACTTGAAGGCCTTGTCGGACTTCCACGAGCCACTCGTTTGGACGTCGGCGATGTTCGAGCCCACAGTGCCAAGACGACGCAGGAGGTTGATGGAATTCCAATGAATTCCCATCCAACAAAGTCCCATCCCGCTACTTCTTCAGCTGTTTCGCCTGAAAAGTTTCATTACATTATCATTGACTCGGTGAATCCAGTGGAGAGCTTTGAGCAGTGCGGAGCAGCGTGGAGTGCGTTTTCGCATGAGTTTGGCATTTCGGAGAAACGAAGCCGAGGTTTAACTATTGGATCTCAGAGTACTTCGAGACTCCAGCTCCTGCCCAGAATGTATTGGCCTCTTGGCACAGGGAGAAACGTTGGATGCATGTACTCCTGAAAAAAACAGCTGATGCTGCACATCATCAAGACAGCTAGACGGATCTTCGGTCTTCGAGATACTTGTGTGACGCGGAAGTGCTGGCCAACCTCTCTTCCCCGAAACAAATTAAAATCATCATTGACTCATATTGAGTCTTGAACCTTCAAGAAGCTACGAACGGGGCTCCTGGCATCGCTACGAACGGAGCAAGGACGCTACGAAGGGGGCTCCTGGCCGTACTACTAGGAGCAAGTAGCTACGAACTTCTAACGTAACAAGAAGCTACTAGGCCAACGTCTCTTCCCCGCTCGTTGCACCGTGCTCACCGTGGGCGGTGTCTCAGGATAGCCTGGCGGTTCTCATGCAATGGCGACTCGGGCGAGGCATTTGGGGTGATGGTGTGCTGTATTCTTCCAGCCTTGCAGAGGCCTCCAGTATACCATGGGTGTCCAAAAATCGTCTTTTGGTTGAAAAGGAATTTCTTCACTTCGCTGGTGCCAAAACAAGTCTTTGGAAGTCGATCCGGGAATCGACATCTCCCAACGACTGCACCAGAACGACTGCACCTTCCTACCAGAACGACCCACCTGACTTCCTGAGTTGTTTTTCTGATATAAAGGTGAACCAGAAAGGTAATCCATGATATCATCCTTTTCGACCTGAAATTCATGATCAGAAATTTATTGATACTTCCAAAGCCTTCAGCGAACTTTTGACGATCTTCAGCATCGTGATTGGTCACCCGAAGCTGGCGAAAAGCACCGGAAGGGACGGGACCGCCACAATCCAGGAATTGAATGGGTGGCCACCGTTAATTTCACCCGTCCCGGCTGCCGTGAATCGAAGCTGGAAGGTCGACTGGTGGACACACACACATTATGAATCAAGATATAATTGATATATATATATATATTATATGTAATTACACGTGTGCAGGGTGTGCTGGTCTCCGAGTATTCCCTTGGGGACAAAAACGTTTTTGGAACGGGTATGTTGGCTCGAACGGGTAGATTCAGCTTCGAACGGGGATCGGGCCTCGAACGGGCCATGAACATTTGAACGATTGAAGAGTCGGTCGGGTTTCCTGGGTCTTCGGGTCGCTTTCGCCTTCAGTCTCAAGCCTGCTTCAGTCTGGGAGCACTGCTTCAGTGCTTTGGTGCGTTTCAAATCGATCCGGGATGGACTTGAAACTGATTGTTTCTGTACTTGAAACTTTTTTTCATTTAGTTTGGACGTGCTTTGGACAGTCCAAGTTAAATCACAAGA